GAGGGAATGCACTGGATACCTTGCCTGCCATTGTGCTATTGCTGGGTGTCCATTGTCCCTATACCTTTAAGGAGGGGTGGGCTCCCTCCAGGCATACCTGCCCTCAATCTATCCATTATTATATATGTGCTCCAACTTTGGAGTCTCTCAACATTTATAGAGTTACGACTGCAGAAACCAGGGTGCCATGATGTGGACTCTGCAGCCTATGCATATACTGTATTTGCAAATGTGTGCAAACAAAATCCTTTGTTTGAATGTGGACTGTTAGACAAGGTAATTTAGTTTATTGCAGGCTGGCTGGTAAGTGAGCTGGGAATTTGTAAATATACACATCCCTATTACATTTGTATATATAACAGGGATGCTGCTTTGCATTGATGATCTTTGTAAAAGTAAATGCCCCCTTTTACATCGGTCATCAGTGTAAATCCCCCCCCCCCAAAATTGATGGTTAGTGGAGGGCTGTCACATACACTGCTTTTGAGTAGAAATGCCCCTTTTATATTGATGTCAGTGTGCCACAAATGGTTAACTTTATGCTGCTCCTGATTCCATTGCATGCTTTGTTTGGCTGGCCAGGTACATTGACAGAAGGGTGTAATACTGGCAGCCAGTGGTGGCCACAACTTACAGTGTCACACACACTCAGAGGTGATTGCAGGTTTTACAGCTTCTTCGAGAATAAAGTCTCTTTGTGTTTTCTCCAGATCTATAATGGCCTTGATGCAGGTATCAGTCTGTGGAAGCCCTTGGCAGCAGTTCCACATCACAGTAAACAGGTAGAGGAGAAGGCAGTGGATAAAGTGGATGGCCAACTCAATGGCTGACCTGCCCTATCTGACAAGGACCCCCGATGTTGGCCACTATAGCAGTGATGTCAGGAGCTTTAACTGTCCAGCACCTACCAAAAGCTAAAGTTTCAGTTAACAGTGGACTGACCCTATCAAGTGTGTATATATAGCCCAAACCTTATATTTCATTTTGGACAGAGCAGGCAAGCCTATTTTTTTTTGTCTGTCTGTGTCCCATTGGGGAGAATTCCCTTCTCTTCCTGTGCAAGAAACACAACAGGAAGTGAGGGGAAAGTGAGACACTTGGACAGTTGTCAGCAGATCAGGTGACTCCATTGAAAGATTTCCTCTCCCCTCTTCTTCTGGAGACATCTGTACAATTTTGGATTTTCTTTAGTTTTCCGGTGGCTGTTTACCAGGACACAAAAAGGCCTCTTGCACACGGTACTGATGTTGAAGCATCTGTATTTTTTTTAAGTGTGATTTGAGATGCTTGATTAGAAAGTATTTATGCAAGTATTTGCGCACATATGTGCGTCGCACAATATATTCTCAGGGAAAATTCATTAATACGTATGATCATATGCATGCATTTGCGCATATTAGCGTGCATTTGTGTGTATTCGTGCACATGTGGCATAAATTACTGACCAAAATGGCAGATTTTCCTTTTCTTTTTTTACGTGGTGCTTATTTACATGCCTGTGTGCAAAGGCACAAATAATGAGCATTTTACCTCAGTAAAAAAAAATAAATAAATAAAAACACTGTACTAAGCTTTTTTTCAAGCTGCAGTGTGCAAGAGGCCTAAGAGAGTGAACCTTGTCAGGGGGGACAGAGAACGCAATAACAACATGACAGGGGTCTAACTCCTCTACCTTTATCCAAAAAAAAAAATTGTTATACAGAAACTGTAGCTGTGCAGCTGTACTTTGCTGTGTATAATAGATGGTTACCCCCCACCTTCTTCTGCTGTTTTCTTCTATTTATGCCTTCGATGATGCTAGCTCAGCGTCTTTCTGTCTGTGTTTGTACACATAATATGCAAACAAATTGCTTGCCCGTTAATAATTCATAGTGCATGGTACTGATTTAGGACAATCCATAAATTGTCAGCAGTCTCGTGGTAGAACAAATGATGTTTTGGCTTCTTCCTGGCAGACAAAGGCTGCGTTCACCCACAAACAAGTACTTTTCAATCCAAGGACATCAGCCTATGACATTACGTTACAAAGGCTATAATATTACGTAATACAATAGAATGCATATATTTATATTATCAGTGTCATAACAAACCAATGAACAAAAACAGAAAGTTAACAGCTTTTTCCGCAAGTACAAAAATACACATCTTTTTAATAATTGCATTGTAATGGATATTACATGAGGGAGTCGGAGCAATCTGTACAAAGTCAAGAAACAAATGAGATTTCAGATGGATTTAAATAGAAAACATAAAATACTCAACATCATGTCCTACCGCTACACAGCACATTGCACACACATCCATTACACTGCTGAAATTATAAGAGGTAAACATAATAACAAAGACATAGCCAATTCAATTATATATATATATATATGTGTGTGTATGTATAATATTTTTACAGATTATTACTGACATTGGTAACTGTCATCTCATCTCACATGTACCACCACAGAACACACTGGTCCCACTTACATTACAATAATGGCTTGGACTTAGGGGCATAATTCCACATACCTACCTGTGAGTATGCTTGTATTCACTGGTTCTGAGGAGCCACATTAAGAAATCTGACCGCCTGAGACATAAGTAATACTTGATAGCTTGCCAAACCGTTTTCACCAATTTTAGCACCAGTAATATTAAAGCTGAACTCCAGCTCAATACACGGTTAAAATAATATTCCCCAGTAAACTATTTGTTAAAATTGCTCCAGCTATTGCAGTTTACAACATTTGTTGTTTCTGCCTAATGCTCTATCAGTGCTGCTTCCCTGAACTTCAAATCTTCACAGGAAAGAGTTAACGGTACTTACTGAGGCAGCGCTAAATCCAACTAAAAAAATTTTTTTTATACAACTCCAAAGTGCAAAAAAAAAGAAAAACAAAGTGCATTTGCTTATAAACTAGTACATCCATACACATATAAAATGTTATATAAAACCAAAATTATTAATTTATTTAAGGTACTTACATAGCGCTTTCAATTTACGCAGCGCTTTACATATATATTGTATATTCACATCAGTCCCTAACCCTCAAGGGGTGTATAATTTAAGGTCCCTAACTCACATTCATACATACACATACTAGGGCCAATTTAGAGAGGAGCCGATTAACCTATCAACGTGTATTTGGAGTGTAAAGGAACCGGACCCGGAGGAAACCCACGCAGGCACAAGGAGAACATGCAAACTCCAGGCAGGTGGTGCCATGGCTGTGATTCGAACTAGCGACCCTAGTACTGCCATGTTCAATAAATATTTATTTGATGTTTCAATATGTATATGATCGACTATTTGAAGAGTAGTGGATGAATTTAAAAGGTATATGCACTTTATTTTCTGAGTGGGTTCACACCACTATTGTGTTGACGATTTTGATTGGTATCAAATTTTCTGCGATGTACTAGTTCATAAGCATGTGTACTTTATTTATTTTTTATCATTATTCATGTAATATATATTTATTTTTAGGTGGATTTAGCACTGCCTCAATAAGTATGTGTTATATATGTTAGTGATACTAAGGCATTAGGTCAGCTGCCTCATACCGTTTGGATGTCACAAGCACTGTTCTCTAAGTTTATAAAGAGTTAACAGTAAACCCTGCACTTTGGATTCAGTCCGTTAGCTTGGAGTGGGGAGGAGGAGAAGCAGGGGGTTGCCTTTCCATCCTAGACTATGGGACTGTGTGTTTCTATTGATGCACACAGTGTAGTGAGACACAACTCTAGTCCCTCTGATTGCAAGAGCAGCTCCATAGGATGCTGCAAGAGAAAGGAGCCACCCTTTAACAGGAAACCTGGAGCAGCAGTTATGGTACCTGTTTAAACTGATACATAGGCAAGGATTAAAACATGTAGAAGCTATGTACTAAGTGATTATATTAGCAGCTGAAAGTGCCTAAAACTGAGGGTTTAATATCAATTTAAACAGGAACACCCAAACCTGCTAAATGGACAATGAAGGTGTAGCAGCGCCCTCTGTTCTGTGCATCTATCAATATGTTCCCTGTCAACACATGTGCACTCTGAAAGTTGTAGAGGCTTCTTATTAATATATAATTGTAGTATTTGCAGTTTTTTCTTTTTTTTGCTGCATCAGTCTGAAATTTAAGCTTAAATAGACACTGTCACTTTCCCCATTTAGGGTAAAGTAACAATGACTGCAGATAGCCCTCCGCACCAGACAGTTATACTTTTCCAAGCCACAGGAGCCTTCGCTTATGGAGTGTGGCTTGGTAAGTGACCCCCACTATATAGCAGTAGTCAGGCTTGAGCAGCCAGTTACTCTGCCCATACACTGTCACATAGGTCAAGGAGGGGAAGGGGGTGTTGTGAGGTTGGATAATGCAGTAGACTGGCAGCAACAGAGCTCAGTAAATTAAAAAGCCTGGAGCAAGGGGGTGGAGTATCTGCAGACATTGCAATACTACCTGGAATGGACAAAGTTACAGTGTCTCTTTAAATTGGGATTACAGTGCAGAAAAAGGCACCGTGTTGTCAGCGCAAACAGGAAGTTAGGGGCACACTGGATTTCTGGCAGATTATTGGGTATTTTTCTGCACATGCAGTATTTTTACAGGAATAATACAGGAAATATGCATGCGCTATAGAAATGTACTGATTTTTTTTCTTCAATGCTGCCCAAACTGAAACTTTAAGACGAAGTTACATTGACGACCCCTGTTGAAATGCTGCAGGAAATATTTTCTTGCTGTACACAGGCATACTAATATGTAGCTTTTCTGGAAAAAATAACGCTCTCAAGAATAAGCCTTAGGTGAACTGTCAACATTTTCTCTTATTTCAACACATTTGCTGCCCCTAACACCCTCTCCCCCCAAACCCCCCCACAAATACTGTCAAATTCTCCTTAAAAAGCACACTACATTCGTTCGCATAAATTACACGCAAAAGTGACTCTTCCAAAAAAAAAGTTAATTTGTAAGTTCTAAAAACAAGGTTCCCTAAAGAACATTTGTTTTAATGATCTGTCTTCACACATAGGACTCCTCAGTGAAAAATCTTTGGTCTATCTCTTCAAACTTGGGGTCACTGCAGCGTTTTGCAGGCCAGTCCCGGCTGGTTTGCTTTATGACATTATCATAGTCTTCTGTGTCTTTCACAGGCTTAGGTAGATCTGGCTGCAGGATTAGGTCTCCTGTACTGTTGCTCAGTTTTGGAGATACACAAAAATTTTTCACCAAGTCACAGTTGGCAATTTTGGCCCCAGTGTCCACATTAGCAGGTAACACTTTATTCTTCTTGAAACCAGTGACAAGAATGCTGATGTCCCTACCAAGTGATGTTTTGGCAATCTCTTCTTTTGAGCAAGATGTCTTGTCCTCCACCTGGTGGACAGAATGTTCACTAGAAGACTTTAGGTTTGAATTGAGCAGCACAGGCTCCTCTAGAATGTAGGAGTTTGTAGATTTTCTTCGGTTTCTCCTACCTAACAGTGCAATATTTTGACCAAAGAAAACAGTTTGTGGCATTAGTGTGCTATCTTGGCTTTTTGCTGATAGCTCAATGTTTATGGATACGGGAGATGGGAAAAGGAATGCACTGCATTCCACATCTTTTTCACCCTTTCCTTTGTTGTCTGCCAAGCATTTCTCTGCCATATGAGGTTTTTGTGAAGGTTTCTGACTACTCATTTCCCCCCGAAACCCTGCAGTACAACTTAGAGGGCTATCATCCTTGAGTTCTTTTGGCCTTTGTATTATGATTCGGTTCTTTGTTTCACAGTCTATATTTGGCACAGATCCTTGTTCAAAGAAGAAGGAACATTCTGAAATTTCAGATTTAGTTAGTTCTTTAGTGGTATGATTTCCATCTGTTTTACAGCAGTCCACTTGTGTCATTGCTTTGTCCTTTTTTTTGGAGCTCTTCACACCAGACTTGCCATTTTTCAACCAAGTAATTGGTTGTGTGCTGACGGGACTTTTGTGGCTTGGCCACTCAGTTTCACTTTTTCCCGTAGAAAGAACAGAACTGTTGTAAGGCTGTTTATCATGATCAACCACCGATAAGGAGTTAATACTCAGGTAGTCTGGACTGAGTTCCACTAGTTTTGTGTGTTGCCTTATAGTACAGTCAAAGTTTGAAGGCACTTCATTTGGATTCACCACCGAATAATCTGAGAAGTGGGAAAAAGCACTGTCCAAGGAACTCAGCGAAGATCCTGATGGAGATGTTCCTGGAGAAGACAAGCTGGAGCAACTGGTCCGAGAACAAATGTTTAGCCTCAGTGCACTAGGTGGCAGAAGTCTATTAGGAGTGCTTTTTTTGTCATTTGTCTGTTTTTTACTGTTAGTTTTGGAGACATCAATACCTAAAGTCAAGCTGCGATTAATAAGTTTTTGCCCTTCAACTTGCAAATAGCGATGTTGTTTAAGATAATCATCTGCTGACTGGGACAGAAGTGCATCACAGCTCGAGTTATTCTCCTGTGGAGATTCATTAAGCTGGCTGAACCTGGATGCCAGGATTCCAATAGCCGGCTCTGAGCATCGCCGATGCCTCCTCACATCTGTTGTGGAGGAATATCCTGAAGTGTTTGAGCACAGAGATTCATTCTCAGATTGCTCATGTAACACTGATCGATGGTGAGAACCTGCTGACATCTTCAGAGGTGAGGTCTTAGAGCAACCATAGTTATGGGTCTCTTCATGGTAGGCCTGGTCCATATCACAGTCACTCAGAGTCAAAACAGAGTCTCTGCTGCGGTTTTCATGACTCATCTTTGTAGGTAAGCTACTGTATGGGGAATCTCCATCTTCGTTAAGTTCATTCTCCAGGCTGTCATATGAAGAGTCAATATGTTTAAAAGAACAAAGATCTAGAAAATATAAAACAGAAAATGGATTGCCATTAAGTCCTAAAGGTTTAAATAATGCTGCAGTCTATAGACATCAACATTATTCTGAGTCATATTTCTGCTGCCTGATAACATTAACAAATTCCTGATAACATTAACTGTTACTTATAAGGAAATTAAAAAGTATCTTCAGAGCGTGCAAATTATGAGTAATTACTGTAACCCCTAACTAAAAGCAATTTTAGATTTCACTTACATACAGTAACTGTATTCAAAACATCTAAAGCCAAAACTTTTTATTTCTTTTTGGATAGTGAGGAAAATGGTTAAAACCCCTCTCAGTTTGTTTTTATTCATCAGTGTCCCATTGGGTGGTTTCTGTCCACTCCCTTATACTGCAGACACAAAAGGAACTAAACAGAAATCTCTCCATTTATATATTGACACACTCTCAACCCAGAGCACATGAGCCCTTACTGCAACATATAGCTGCTGCAGGCATTGCAGAGCAATACATCCTCAAATTCTACATCAGAGATACTTTTATTTCAGCAGTAAGCTAGCAGCATGCCAGCCTTAAAATATCTAATGCAAACACATAGAAAAGCTTGTAGCATTTCGTCCCCTTCTCCACATTAGCTCAGCATCCACAGAACCTACAAAACAAGGCAAAGTTCTACATGTATTTTGTCCCTGAGGGGACAGGAAGAACAGAAAATGTTTCTGGTAAGACAACTTCTTCAAATGTCACAGGTTTTAACTACAGACTAGTAAACCATCCAGCGGAAACAGACCAGATTGGGTGACAATGATCTACGTGTATATGCACCTTTGCTCTGCCCAACCAATTAAGCAGAATTTAGTTACATTGTAACTTATTAGGGACTTTGTCATTGAAAAATGCTCATGTATAACATTTTAATTTTCTCAATATTATCAGGGATGCTCTAATGTTAATTGTGTCAGCTGAAAAAGTTATGTCACATCATTGGCCTGTACACTATATGCTCCTCGTTCCAATTTTGCAACCCATATGTGATAGAAGTTAGGTCATTTTCCTGGTGCCTCCATGGCAGCATACACATGGTTGGTTGCTTCACCTACATCCAACCCATAGGACTATTGTTAACTCTATAAAAGAAAGAGAGCTACCCCCTCACTCCATTCTCTTTATTGTCCTCAAACCTGCAGGATAAGAATGGGTCTTTCCAGTCTTTCCAGTGGAGCAGGGCTCAGCCAAGTTACATGATTTCCATGAGGGCAGGGGCCTTGAGGTGTTCCATCTCTGCTACACTACCCTTTCACAAAGATGAGAAGCTGTTTGTAGTGCCTGAGGACACAAGAAGGGATAGGGCAGCCTCTAAAAGGACAATAGCAGAATGGAATGTGTGCATAATACAAAGAGCATACTGGGCTAGTAGTCTTCCTATCCCTTAATGGATGAATGTACATTCAACAAGAGGAATCGCTTCTTTGTAGGCAGCTTTGGCAAACATCTCACCTGGGACAACCTGTCGGGCAGCGCGTTGGTCTTCCTTTAGCACGTTTATGACTTACTACCCAGCCAGTCTCACCTCTCAAGATTATGGAGAAAAACCTTTAGAGTTCTCAGTTGTGTGATTTTTATAATAACAATTTTGCAGCATTACCCTCTCTGAAAGTTAGTTATTTACCATGTGCATGCTGACATGGAAGCACCAGGAAAATTGAATACTTTTCTTTCTGTAATTTCCACTTCCCGGTGCCTATCCATAGCAGCATGCATCCCCATCCTTCTAACTTGTTTTTGGTGTTATGTTTGAATCTAGTTACAAGAATGGAGAGAGTTAAAAATTGACCTATGGGTTGGATGTGGGTGGAACAAACCAACCATGTGTATGCTGCCATGAATAGACACCAGAAATAAAAAAATTACAAAAAAGGTAAGTATTCCCAATTTTCCATTATCTATGGTTGTATTATTATACCATGAAAGTTTAGTACCTGAACTGTCCTCTCTATTGTCGTCCTTTGATGACAAGCTGGCATATAATAATGAAAGGTCTTCTCCAAATATCGTACAATAGTTTTCAATTAGAAACTGTACAAGTACTGACACCTGGAAGTAAAGTAAGAAAACAATGCATGAGATATATTGCAAACATCAGAGTTTCCTTTCTACGACAGCCTTTTAACAAGGTAGTAATAATAATAATGAGCATAGCAATTAAAACCCAACTTTTTTTTTTTTCCATAGAGTGGGGAAGTATTAGAACAGGTTTTAAATGCTCTGTGCATGTCTGCTGAGGAGAGTACCTATCACTTCCTATTTGTTTGACAACTGTCACTTGGAACAACTGTCATTTGGAAATCTCCTTTCAGTTCCTGTTATGACTCATCACTCGATGAGGAATTGAGGAGAAATCTTCTACACTGAGACCAGATGGCAATAAAACTACATATAACGTTATGCAAGACAGAATTTTGGCTGGTGCTGGGCTTAAACTCTCTCTGGGCTATGTGTGAACTGCTGTTCCTGGCTCCTGTGTGGAGCAGGGATGGTTTATATCTTTCTTCATTTGTGTGAAGTGGCACTCTACCCGCCATAACACATCTATGGCACAGGGGTGAGACTTGTAGAAGCCTGACTCCTGCATAATTATGATATGTCAGGTGACCTTTATTTTGCACTATTAAGCCCGAGTCAACTATAGCTCTTCCACAGGCTACTGCAGAGGATTTGAAAGGTAGTAATCACATGAGTAACAGGACTTGATGTGTGGCTGCAGTAGCCCTGACTATTAAAGGAGTGGGTCAGAAAAACTGTGGTTCTGTGTTTTCAATCTCCCCTTACTGTCTACCATGGGGCAAGGCATGAATCAGGTATCAATCTCTTGACGGACACATAAGGCTGGGTCTTGCATCCTGCCCTATTTCACCAGTGTAAAGCTGGGTATACTGCACTTTAGTAGAACTTCATTCAACATCGTTTGTTGTAAGAACATTGTAGGAAAGTTTGTTTGTTTTTTCTATACAAAAGTGGGGTTCCTTTTTTAACTGCAGTGACGAGAAAATTCAAAGGAACAGGATGGAAAAAATTTTCTCGAATGTACGAATTTCACACTGTGAAAGTAATTTTTGTTTGGTGAAGTCCTTTAATTCCAAAATTGAATGTTAAAAGCAAACAAAATCCTGAATTACTTTCAAACAACAACAAAATGTCGTAAGAATTTTTACAGAAATTTTGAATACATTTTCTTAAGAATTTTCACTGGAAAATCTACTAGTGTATACCCCAGCTTAGAATGTCTGTAACCAATGACCCTATTATTGCTAGGCAGAAACTCTAACCACTTAGCCACTGTGCTGCCCTTAATATACTATATTCTAAAATAGTCCGAATAGTAGATTTTAAGAATTTTTTACATGTGCATACATGCATATATAAGTGTAGACGTGCCCACTATACAGACCATTCTCATGTTTTTTTACGCAGGAAATTTTTCATCATTAGACCAAAAGATAATCTCCTGCGCTTGAGTATTGTGCATTTAGCTTATTGGACTCTATGCTTATCCGGCTTATAGATATAGCACACATGTGACGTGCTGCCCCCTCAGGATTATGGGCATTCTTTCATATATTCTGCAAAACAACAACAAAGAGAGGATGCACCAACCTAGCAAAAAATATAAACCTTTTTGTGATAGAATTACAAAAACATATTAATATTCAAATTACATAATAATAAATACTCAAAAACCAAAAAAAGTCCAATAAAAAAGTGCCCAATAAAAAACAGTAATGTCCAAAAAATAAGTCCCAAATATTCAAACTTTATCATCCAGTAGGAAGAAATCCTATTTCATCCCGTGGTACCTCAAAAAAAAAAACAAAATTGAATAATCTAGTGCATTACCTTTGTAAACAATATATATTCACTCAGTGCAAAAAACACAAAAAACACAAAAAACTGTGCAAAAACTTTTGAGTATTTGGCGGCATTATTATGTAATTTGAATATTAATATGTTTTTGTAATTCTATCACAAAAAGGTTATAATATTGAATTGCTTTCTGGGGAGAAAGTGTGACTTTTTGGAAATTTTGTGGGGTGGAGGTGGTTATACACTTATTTATTTTATTTAACCTAGCAAAAAAACCTTTTGGCTCTGAAGAAGAAGGCTTGCCCCTCGAAATGCATAAGCCATTTTTGGACACTGAAAGGCCTTCCAATGTCATCAGTTGGACACTGCGGACCTTGTGGCAGTCTCACTTGCATTCTATGATATGTGCATGTTATGCCATGCATGTGTGATTATATCACTTATTTTTACTATTCAATAAAATTGTACAATGGTAATGTGCTAGGTTGGTGCACCCTCTCTTTGTTATTGTTTTGCCGTTCATACATCATTACACTGTCAAGGACCCAAATTATACAGTCCAAAGTCTTTTAATGTTTAAATGTGCAAATGTCCTAAAAAACCGTGGATGTGATAATTTTCTTCTTTAATATTCTTCCTTTAAAATGTAAGAATTCTTTTTATTCCAATAAACAGCAAAAGAAAAAATTATATTCGCACATAGTGCATTATTCCCAATATGTGATATGTTTCACAAAACGTACTTCCAAACTCGTGACAAATCGTGCAAAAATTCTACCTTGTGACCTTGTGAGCACTTCTAAATAACTGTCATCCTTACTCTTACCCTATTTAAACTTGGAAAAAGCTTTAATCAATTCCATTTTTAAATCACTCCATGATTTCACTTCTCAATCCATCCTCCTCAACGTAGGAGATGCACCCCCAGACGGTAAGAATCAACCAGCATTGAATAGATATATGTTCCTCTCATTCCAGAGTATATATGATCTCCGATGGTATCATACCATATATCAGAACAAAGCAATATAATGTAGTAGGCAGTAGTAGGAACTGGACCATATACTTAGCTAAAATTGCACTTACAACCAAAAGTCTTGTATCTCAGTATATATTCATTCATAAAACAAGCATGGTGTGTAAAACCTTCTCCAAAATGGCCACTTCGCAACTTCCGGTTTATGCCTGATGCTATTCCTGATGCGTTTCGTCACTTACGACTTCATCAAAGGCATTTGATGAAGTCAGAAGTGACGAGATGCGTAAGAACGTAGTGTCGGATGTAAACCGGAAGTTGCGGAGCGGCCATTTTTGAGGTTTTACACACCATGCTTGTTTTATGAATGAATACAATTTTGTGAAACATATCACATGGCTTTTGATGTTGCAGAGCGGACATTTTGGTGAAGGTTTTATACACAATGCTTGTTTTATGAATGAATACATTTTTGTGAAACATATCACATGGCCTTTGATGAAGTCAGAAGTAACGAAACACAGCAGAAACGTAATGTCGGATGTAAACCGGAAGTTGCGGAGTGGCCATTTTGGAGAAAGATTTACACACCATGCTTGTTTTATGAACATTTTTGAGAAACATATCACATGTTGGGAATACTGCACTATATGCGAATATAATTTTTTCTTTTGAGGTTTATTGGAATAAGAAGAATTCTCACAGTTTAGAGGAAGAATATTAAAAAAGAAAATGATCACATCCACGGTTTTTAGGACATTTGCACATTTAGACACTAAAAGATTTGGACTGTATATTTTGGACTTTCGGGGGAGAAAGTGTATTATTTTGGCGTTTGGGGTTTTGTAGACACTATTGGCACACCGATATATATTCCCTTATATGTGCAAGGACCCATATGCATATTTTCTGCCAAGAATGCATGTTCTTGTTGGCAGAGCCAAATATTTGTCACATACAAAGTTTAGACACATACAATTCTTCTAATTACAAAACTATACAATGTACAAATCTAAACATGATGTTTTAGACATGAGCCCTGAAACATGAATGAGCCCTGAAGCAGAGCTAATTGGCTGGACCTTTTCTGTATAGCACAACGAATTCTGACCTGGAGGGCAGGGATCCAGTATAATATAATACTGAAATGAAGTCTTTTTTAGCAGTAAATATATTTGTGCAGAACTTACTGATGCAAAATATGACAAAAGGTGATGGAATAGTTTTAGAACAAGTCCACATGCTCACTTCACTTACAACTGTACTCTGCACCTCTATGCACATACCATGTGGTAGTACTGGGAGTACTTGGTGACTGTGATGGGCTAAGCATTAATATTTACACATACCAAAACCGCAGTATTATTTGTCATATACTGTTCTGCTTTCTTTGTAGAATGTTACCTTTCTTGTGAACTCTCCCTCTGCTTCCGGGCTGGAAGGGTTTGGTAGCCAAAGCAGGCTAGGAGCAATACACACTGCCAGATTGAAGGCTGTCATTTGGTTGGTGTCAGAACGTTGTTCAATGCAGTGCAGAACCCCAAACAGGTAGCGCAGTAAAGTGACATTAATTTGAGGAAGCTTCTCCAACAACCTGCAATTTCAAAACAAGGGATAGTAATTTCTTTACAGAATTGCTAATAATAATTAAACTCATGATTAGAAAGACTCAGCTTTGTGGGTATGAGAATTTGGCAATAGCTCGGGGTCTGTTTTAAAAAGAAAAAACAGCAGTATGGCTTCTCTACAATACCATGGTTTAAAGGCATTATAAACCTTCCACTGGCACCTTGTGTTTTCCACCTGCAAGATGTGCATTGTCCTGTACACACAGCCGATCATTGAGTAAATCATTACATTCTGGGGTCAGAAGTTTCTGTTTCTGTTCAAACATGAGGCATAGGGCATGCGGCATGGCACTGTACAGGTAAATACATCTAACTCTGTCGTGTGAGAACTGATACTTCCTGTGAAGAATTACATATCCCACAATCCCTGAGTCACTCAGTCTAGTGCTCTGCAGATGAGAGCGTAACAGTAATTAGATCAGACACAAACAAGCAGAGCAATTAACAGAGAGATCACCATGCAGTCTTTTATCACGTAGTACTCCCACATTTCTGCTACAACACAGAGGAAATGGCTGGACATGGCTTGGGTGCATGACCTGGAACAAGAATGTGCTTGCAGCTTAGCTAGGTGAATGAATACATGAACACAGGGGAATCAATCAGCCATAACATTACAAGTTGGACCAGCAACAAGTCATTCCATCATTACAAGATAAGGCAAACAAACAGTAGAGGGAATATAACTATACTAATACCTAGTACAACAATGAAAACAATTGAAAGTACATAATGCCTTTAAAAAACAGCACAAGGGGGCTCTAGATCCATTTTTAAAAATATCCTGGATCAGATTGTCACAGTTTAGTTTATGAATTCATGTGAACCTTTATGTCCTTCACTGAATTAAAAATAAAATAATCTCGCCCATGAAACTAAGTGATTGCTAACTGCTAACCGGAGCAAATTGGATCATGCTTTCCTGGGGGTTTTTTTTAGCCTTCCTCTGGATCAACTGTGGGTATAGGTTTATAACTTTTTTTTTTGTTGAACTGGATGCACTTTTGTTATTTTTCAGCCATACTAATTATGTAATTATGTAACTAAGCTAGCAATCTGGACTCAATGTAAAGCACAGTAGCAACCAATCACATTCTGTCTTATCCAGGTCTGAATTTTGTGAATTCTGATTCCTGTGGGTTGGAAATCAGTATATTTGGTAGGCATATTTTACATTTTTACAAGGAAGATTCAGTATTATAAATTTTTTTTCCAACTGCCCTTACAAAGAGCAGGATAACCTGACACCTACTTCTTAACAGCCTTTATTCTTTCAGCTAGACTTCCATGGTCCATCACAGAAACCCATTTATCATACAGTTTGGATGAGAAGACACTGCCAGGGATGTTGCGTAGAAAGTCCTGTGTGAAGAAGAAATGTCAGGACTGAGCATAAAGTAAAGTAATCAGAAACAGATGTAGGCACGTAAGACTGAGAAGAACAAGGCTAATGTGGAAGAACTGAGAAAGTTAGTGGATGCCGGAAATCACGTACTCAAAACTACTAAATACACAGATGAAATACTTGTATGAGAGCTATTTACCTGCCAAAGTATTTGTATTTTTGTTCATCCAGTCTTGAGATTTAAGAGCCCTGCCATACAGCATGGCCCTCTCTGCAAGAAACCGGATTTTCCTCTTCTGCAGTTAAGTAACACTTAGGCTAGGGTCACGCCTACGCAGGTTATAGTTCATGTGTTTTTTTCCTGGTATATTTTGTGGTGTGGTTTGTGTTTTTTTCACATGCATTTTTAATGAGTTTTTGGGATGTGTTAATGTTGCATGGAGGAAGGTGTCATGAAGGAAACACACCAAAATGTACAAAGTTTTTTTGATGCGTTTCCATTGAAATCTATAGAACTAAAAACGCGATCTGCTAACCCTTTCCAAAAAACGCATTGGCTGAAAACACACAGATGTGAAGTGACCCATAGGAAATCATGTTAAAGTGGAGCTCCACCCAAAAGGGGAAGTTCCACTTTAAGGACTGTTCCCCCCATTAAGGATTAACACCTTTGGGGGGCGGGGGGGAGCAGGTACCCGAATTTGACAGGTACCCGCTCCCACTTCTGGTCTGATCGCCTAGGCGATCGTAAACAGAAGGTGTTCTCCCTCCCTCCTTGTAATCTTTTGGGACACGTGACAGGTCCCAGAAGCCTACAGGACCATTCATGAAGCGCAGTGCTACTCGCGCATGCGCAGTGGGTACCTGGCTGTGAAGCCGCAAGCTATCACAGCCGGGTGCCCACACTGAAGATGCCGACCTCCTGGAATACAGGACAGCCGGTGATACAGGCTGCGGGGGACACACCGCGGGACCAAGGGACAGGTAAGTGGCTGTTTTTTAAAAGTCAGCATCTACAGTTTTTGTAGCTGCTGACTTTTATTTTTTGACAGGGTGAGTGGAACTCCGCTTTAAGGAAACACAATACAGCCTTAAGTAGGATGAGGAAGGCAGATGAGAGAAGCTAAATTCTAGCAAGCAATATAGATCAAGTCTCATCCTTTTATACCTTCAGCACTGAAGCGGTGACAAAGATAGATTCACAAGCAAAGTCAACATGGAATCCTGCATTGAGCCTCTCCTTCATTTCCTTACAAGATTTTGCATTTGCTGAACGCCTGAAGATACCTCTCGTAAATGGCCCATCTTGGCAAAGAACAGAGAGCATGTCCTAAAGAAAAAAAAATGAAATGTTTTTTAATATTTAAAATTTTTTCTGCTTGCAGTCAGTATGGACAATGTTAATTCAGTCTAACATTTCAGCGATGTAGGCACAGTATGCACATTGTTTTAAAAAAATGAGAAATGAAATGATTAACTGTTTTCTGGAAATTCTCCAGTACTCTTTGTTAAGGATTGTCACTAAGTTTTACCATTCAAAAAGGGGGATTACATGTGTAACAAGCAGATCTATCTCCTTTCGGGAAGCTTGTGTATAATTTAGTGTCAGTCCCTAGCGCCTGGGCTGCTGCTATAATTCCATTACTAGAAAACGGAATATACACTAACAGGGTGCTTCACAGGGCCACTAAACATAAATAAAAGATTTAATTATGTAATAGCATTCATGGTGTGTCAAAGTAAAGACATATTCAGAACTAATTACATTTAAAATGTACTTACGGGCTGTAGGGGAAACTATATTTCTTACTAACTCATTTTACTGACAAATTGTCTAACTTACAAATCTAAATTTTAAAATGTTGGTCCACCCTTTTTTAAATTTTTGGTTGATGTTGAATAACTAAACCACCTGACATTTTTTTAATCTCATCTTCTTTTTGTCTTTATATTTCTATTGATGAAGTATCTTCATTCTATTGTTTGCATCAGCACTCTTCTGTAGAAATTATGAACAGGTCCCACTTTCGCTGTTATATTTAAAAATAAATGTTTACAATGAAAATGGAACAGGAAGAGCTGGGTTATGCACAGTTAGGTATGAAAATCCTAAACTCCCAGGTGAACTGAAACAGAGGTGGGATTTATAGAAGATCTTGCTGCTGGAAAATACAAGACACATAAAAAGCTTGCCAGGCAAGTCAGACTCAAGAAAATAAAGAGCCAGGACATGTTCCAAGGACAAGTCAGTGCAAACCTCCATGAGTATAATGTAATTAGAGTTCCCAACCCCACCAATATGGCCATTGGTTTCATAGCTTGGACCCAGGTCATCATAAGGGGATGGGGTTTGATGAGTTGGGAACTCTAATTACATTATGGATTTGGAGGTTTCCACTGACTTGCCCTTGTAGTTTGAATCTCCACCACTCTTACTGCTTGCCATTCTAAGCAATACATTATCCAGTCTTCTAGTAGATGTTTCACAGTACCTAGCAGATTTAGGTTTGGTATTAAAGTTTAGCCTATGCTTACACAGTCACGTACAGACAGTGCAGTGATACATCATCTGACGTGAGGATTTAGAACAAGCAATATATAATGTAGGAATTTTCTTTCTACACGAGTGGCCTTTGCAGAAACAGTGCCAGTTTCTTAAAGTCGAGCCAAGGTTTAACAGCAACATTTCTCAGCCATGTACAACACATCAGACAATTATTGTAGATTAGGATTCATTTATTATTCTAAAAGACAGTCCCATTAACTAACCACTGTATCAAGCAGATATGTTTTCTTTGAATCGATTTAGGAATTATTCTCAGCCTGGAGACTGACTTTCCATATTTCTCAAGCTACAAAGAGAAATGCTCTGCTGTCTTGTGCTGTATATACATTTTTACCTCACAAAGTAAATTAATCAGCTAGTAAAATGCTGAAATACCATAGATAAGAGGCTGACCTAAAATTGCTGACTGCTTTTAAAATAAATCCTCATCTTCTGTGAGTCAGTATAAAACAAATGGATGGAAGTGCATGGATTGGGTGACAGCCTAACCATACCATTAGTGTCTTTTAGCAACTAATATTATAAAGTATCTAAGCTCAAGATCAAAAATGGAAATAATTGCAGCTTACCAGTCCATAGATGTGGTGGCTGCATTCATTTATTTTCTAGTCATCCTGCTAGTAATGCACTACAATTAAAATGTTCACATACTGTACTGTATTTATGAGAGAGCAGCATTGTCACCTTGGAACAGGAAGTGTGTTAGGAGTACAAACCCCCCCATCTCCATAGTATAAAGGGGAGTTGTTCTGTAATCTGCAAGGTGAACTGGGCAGGGCTGACAACACTGGTTAGGATTTCAATAATCAATAACACTCAATGACACTCAATAAGGAAGTTGGGAGCTCACAGATAATTTTAATGTGTATTTAAAGAGATAAAACATGGGGGAATGTGCATGCATTGGAGAGATGTAGTGAATATATATGCAATCCAGCTCCTATGTTTTCCTGCATAGGATGTGGAAACAAGGGTAAGTGACTCAACTACGCACAAAAACATAGGAACTGGGGTGCAGAAAAATGGCAGCAGGTACTCTGGACTGATTTGAAAAATGTGAAATATTCGGCTAAAGCAGTAGGCAGTTTGTTTGTGAAGGGCTGGAGAGCGGTACAATAATGAGTGTCAACAGTGAAGCATGGTGGAGGTTCCTTGCAAGTTTGGGGCTGCGTTTCTGCAAACAGAGTTGGGGATTTGGTCAGGATCCATGGTGTCTCAATACTGGGAAATACAGGCAGATACTTTTCCATCATGCCATACTATCAGGGAGGTATGTGATTGGCCCCAAATTTATTTTGCAGAAGGGAAATCACCCCAAACATACAGCAAAAGTCAGTAAGAACTATCTTCAGTGTAAAGAAGAACAAGGAGTCCTGGAAGTAATGGTTTGGCCCCCAAAGAGCCCTGATTTCAACATCATCAAGCCTGTCTGCAATTTCATGAAGAGACATAAGGATTTGAGGCAGCCTACATCCACAAAATATCTGCGGTTAGTTCTCCAAGATGTTTGGAACAACCTACATGCCAAGTTCCTTCAAAAACTGTGTGCAAGTGTACCTAAAAGAATTGATGCTGTTTTGAAAGCAAAAGGTGGTCACACCAAATATTCATTTGATTTGGATTTCTCTTCTGTTCATTTATTTTCCATTTTGTTAATTGATAAAAAATAAAATATTAACACATCTATTTCTGAAAGCACTTTTAAGTTAAAGAATATTTGCTTAAGACTTAGGCCTGCCCAAGACGCATATATATATATATATATTGACCAGATGTGCACTTCAACATAAACTAGTAGACTACACCAGCATAACATCTGGCATTATGAAGTAATAAGTACCATATACACAGTATCCCAGTTCCAAATGATTGCTTCTTCCAGTATGTTTTTCTGAAACCTGGCTTTTATCATCTTTGGAATGTTACTTCTTCCCCTCTGTATTATATTACTACATTTAAATATCACTGGATACTACTTTCTCAGCAAAATCTATGCTACAGGTCTCTATTTAGACATTATACTGCACTAGGCACATAGAAAAAATAACGGCCTTTTGTACAAGCTCCACCCCTAGTGTCATGTGATTATTTCTCTAAAAATGAAATGTCCTATTGAAGGGACAATGGGGTCTCCTCTATATACGTAACTGTACATACCACAAAACAAGAGAAGACATAAATGATGGTTCCTAAACTATAAAAAAAAAAAAAATGTTGCAAAAGAGTGAAGTGAATACTTCACTTCACTCACTGTCTTGAAATGTTTCAATATAAATGACATATTTATGTTTCTTTAAGGTTTTTGTAAACCCAATTAATGAAAAAAAAAAAACAATGGTTCACACATATAAAGTGCATTGATGTGTTAACAATTGTAACTGAAAACCCAATCAATAGGAAGCTCCACCATATCAGCGTTGTCACCCTGCATACCCACTCTCGTGCCCAATTTAATGCATGCTGTGCCCTCCTTGTCCTATACTCAGCAGCCCAAATCACAAGGAGCGACACTTGCCAGGGTGGATGTAAGTGATTGCCTGATAACGGCTCCAACAGAGAATCTTGCTGTCATCTAAGCACACAGCAATCTGGTGTCACATGGTGAAGGACAGCAACGTAGGCAACAAGCTGCCTTACTGCCCTACATGAGACATAATACCCACCACTGCCCCTGAAGAGTATAGAATTTGCATAGCAGTCATGTGACCACTTGATAAACTGATAAAAATGGGATTTATTGCATTTCTTTATTGCCAGATTTGATGGAGTGTGCTCCCCTTTTGTGTTCCCTAATAGAATCTAAGGATAAAAGCAGATAGTTTGCATATGTTGTAACATCTGATACATTTCAGAAGTGTTTTATCACGTGATGAGGATTGTATCAGTATCTTATGTGCTTCTTAAGAAGCAGTTTCAGGATTAGCTGCTCACCATTATGGCTTTGGGCAGGTTGTCATTCTCACATATGGCTGGCAGTGACATTCCAAACAGCTTTCCAGGAGTTGAGGAGGTTGGAGAGAGCGGGATGTTGTCCAGATGAGTGTTAGAACCACGCCAAAAGGTCCAGTTTATGATAGACCTCTTCCTTTTAAATGGCTTCTGGCTTGAATCTGGGGAAAATATGAAAGCGTTTAATGGAAATGCTGCACTCTAGTCAATTTAATATTTGTTTTGTTCTTGGGCAGTGACCACGTCTATCTTAAAAAACACAATACACAGTCCTGCTTTATATTGTCAAGATTTTTTGAATGCGTACCAGAAAAGATAGCAAATTGGATGCGTAAAACCTTAATATTAGCTTTTGTTTTGACATCTTATTTTGAAAGCAGGTCCTGTGTTAAACCATCTAATGCATGCGGGTGACAGACAGCATGCCAATGCTTTTAAAGCGACAGTTCAAAGATGGCCTTCAGGCATAGAACTAAATACTCATATGAAATACATATTTGTGAACTATCTATCAAATTCTATTCAGACTAATTCAGTATTTATCCAGGCACCCTGCCAGACAACATAGCCAGGTCTTTGTAGTTAGCCAGTATAGCTTGACTTCAGACTTAAGCATAGCGTCTTTGAGCCATTTTTGCGTGTATCTATGGCATTTTGTTTATTTACCAATGTTGCATAATTTGTTGCTATGTTTTTCAGCTTCTTTAGCTTTTCCATCAGCTTTTATTTATTTCTTTTTAAATTATTATTCATTTATTATATTGTTTTTGGTTGAAGTAGGGTAGAATAGGGTTAATATTTTATGTATTGTCTTCTTATTATTTTACTTATTTTTGTTAGGGTTAGAGTGTTAATAATAACACTAATAATAAATGAATAAATAAATGTAACATAAATAAAAAATAATCATAAACACATACAATAAAGGGATAATATGTAATAATAAATAAATATTAACCCTAACCCTTTAAAAAATATTGTTATTTTATTATTATTATTATTATTATTATTAATAATAATAATAAAAACACCCTAACCCTATCAAAAAACAAATAAATAAAGCATTATTATTATTGTTAATAATAATAATAATAATAATAATAATAATAATAATAATAATAATTTTTACGTAATATACATTTTTAGAGTTAGGGATCTAATTACTATTTTTTTTTATTATTACATATTATTAATTTATTTTAGCTGACACTCCCCCTTTCATTCTGAATCCTGCTAGAAGATTACCAGCTAAATTAACCGCAGATTCAAATACTAGTATAGGTTTTTAAAAATATATTGCATTTTTTTCAAAAGCATGCCTAACTCAAGGCTTAAATGGTAATCTTTTATATCTGTGTGGAGTTCAGTTTTTAAATGTGGACTTGTGTTTTAAAGCCCCACTCAAAGCAGAAAGAAAAAAATAACCTTGCCATTTTTTTATGTTTGAACTGGATGGACTTTTGCCTTTTTTCAGCCAGACTAACTATGTAACTATGGGGTTTCCCCCACATTGTAAGAATTGCATGCTCCTTAAATCCAGGGGTAGAGGAACAATAGCTATGCTTTAAGGAGCACCTTCAGAAAATCCTATTCTCAGAACTGATCCAATGATCTTCCCAGAACACATGCATCATATGTGCATCACCCTGAAATGGACCAAATTAGTTGTCAGCTTTATATATGACCATTACACACATATAAGTGTATTGCACATCCCATTCCAAAATCATGGACCATTAATATGGAGTTGCCCCCCCCCCCTTGCAGCTATAACTGCCTTTTGTCTTCTCTACAAGCTTTTGGAGTGTATGTGTGAAGTTGTGCCTATTCATCCAAAATTATGAGGTAAGTTACTAATGTTGGACAGGACAGGATGACCTGGCTCTCATTTTGCATTCTAATTCATATTTTCCACTCACAGCCAGCAGGTGACTAGCTCCATAAGAGCTGAAGCTTTCTAGAAGCTGATATACAGTTATAAAAGAGACCCAAATGGCATAGAAAACTGATTTCACATATTGTTGATTTATAGAAGAGGGACACAACCCCTTATTCTCTCCTAGCAGCCTCCAGCAGGCATACACACAGTGCTAGACTTGCTTATTAAAAAAGCAGAGTATGCTTCATGGGAGACATCCCGGTGGTCAGGTTCTGTGACTCTACAGTGGATACTTACTGTAGACTACCAGGTTTCGCTATACGTCTGGTCATGAGCACGGTGTATCTTTAAGTTATTACTCTAGACCAGGGGTCTCCAAACTGTGGCCCGAGGGCCTGATGCAGCCCTTTGCTAGCCCTTATCTGGCCCTTGGAACACTAGTCTTTCCAGTGATTTCAAGCACCATTTCTCCCACTGACACCAACAATGGGGCACTGATACAGTACCAATGATGAGGTACTATTTCTCTTCCACTGATACTAATGATGGGGTACTATTTCTCCTACTAATACCAATCATGAGGCACTACTCTTCTCCTACTGACCACAAACCCTGAGGCCATATTATATTCCCACTGATGCTGGGCCCAAGACATTTTCTACCCCTACTGGCAAAAATCCGGCCCCCTAAAGTCAGAACAACAGTAAAAAGGCCCTTTGTTTGAAAGGTTTGGAGACCCCTGCTCTAGGCGCCCAAACATTAAGCTGTTCTCTGTTATGTGGACCCCTGCGTGGGTCATTCTCATTATTATGAATCTGTACATTGTTTCTTCCTTTGAACAACTGTTTAATTATGTATCGCTTATGTTCCCATGCTCTGTTGATCTATTTAATAAAAAAAAATTGGGGTACCAGCAAGCAAAGTATGCTTTGCAAGCTGAGAATATTAATGTTTATTTGTAAAATAACGGTTTTATATAAATAATGGAAATACAAATGTAATAAAACAAATTATGTAAAATATTGGTCCACAAACTTACATAAAAGCAGAATCAAGGCCAAACTTTTATTTACTTTTTAGTGATGCCAGTTCAGCAAAGGATGAATTCCCATTTCCCTTGTTGAATTTGTCGATAGAAAAGCAACAAGAGCAAAGAAATCATTTTGCTCCTTGGCTTGCAGGAATGATGGCTCTGACCTCACTATTCAAACTGTGGTGTGAGATTATTTTTTAATTCAATGTGTATGTTTTTCCTTAAAAACATCGGGAAAATATTGTACGTATCTCGTTTTAATGACAATAACATGCCTCATTTGCTCTAGTAAAAGCACACACTGCTGACATCCAAATACTTGCCTTTGTCCTGTGAGAGCATTGCAGCCAATTTATGTGTAAAATAAGAACAGCACTTTTGAATCCACCAACATAACAGCCCCACCAAAGAAAAGCTGGCCCAAATCTTTGACGTGTATGGTTACCGCCAAACGTTAGGAAGGATGGAAAATACAAGTGTGTTCCTTTAACCCCTGTGGTAGCCAAGGTTTTTAAGGGATCTCCATCTTGACAAACAGAAAAGGCTCATGTTGCACATTCCCCCCAAATATGACAGCAATCAGCCCCATATGTCATTGATAAAGAATTCAGGTTTTTTTTCTTTTCTGGGTGTGGTGTCTCTAAGACAGCTGAAATATGAATATCACAGCCTGTTTCTTTTTTCTTTTTATTATTCTATATATTTCAGTATTGGATTTGCACTGCCCCACTTGGGACTGGGTGGAAAGACCTTTACTGGAGGCTTTAACTTATAAAAATATTTCTCTACATAACCCTTCGGTAACCCTCTGACTTTTCAACACTGAAGTACAAAGTCAACGCTGAGTTTACAGCGCTCTATTGCTGTTAAGTCCAGAAACGGAGAACAATAAAGAATAAAAAAAAATTATTAACTTCCTAATGTCATCCAGTCCTTTATTTTACCTTAAGGGCCTATTCACACTTCTCATTGTTAACACATTGTAAATGCATGCTTCGCTAAGGCCATCTATTCATTCTGAATAGGCAATTATCAAGCCTCAATGCACACAAAAAATATACCTGACTATTTTTGACAATGTAGCATGCCACAACGCATAAAGCATTCAAAACTATGCATTGCGGTACACTACAGGATACATGTACATGGACATATACACATTAGGGTGACATTCTATATGAGTACAAGGCATATACACCATACCTTACTTAGTGTTGTGTTAATGTGCACTATATCATGGCTTTTAACTGATTGAGAGGTGCTAATGGGCCCTAAAGCTGAACTTCAAGCTGAAATACATATACTGAAGCTGTTTTACCTCCCAAAGGATTTGCATTAATCTGCATCTAGTTCTGATATTTGAAGACTTAGGTTTAAACTGCTGCAGTTCCCAGGTCTAGTGCCTAGCCTAGCAAAAAAAGGAAAAGCAGTAGACTTATAATCTCATCTCTTCTTCTAGCAGCACTATCCCTGTTAGCAGGACTTTTTATTCTCAGAGAATAGGTGCAGGTACTCCCACCCACCCCTTTCCGAGTCACTCCTTGACTCTGCCCCCTACCCACCTCTGAGCATTGTCACTTGGTCCCATCCCCTACCCACCTACCAATACCACCCCTCTTAGAGAATTCAGAAACAGGGATAATTTTCGGTACTAAGTGATTTTTATGGAATTTGTTAATGATAACATTAAAACAGAAAAATAGATCTTCCAAGCAACAATAACACCCCCCCCCCCCCCCCCCCTCAGCAGTAATAGTCCAGCCCAGCAACAATTGATCCACCCAGCAAAAATTGACCTCCAAGAAACAATAGGCCCTCTCAGAAACAATAGATCCCCCTGACAACAGTAGACCCTCTGCAACAAAATACCACCCCAGTAGCAATAGCTCTTCCAGCAGCCAGCATCAATAGAACTTCTAGCAGCCAGCAATAATAGACCATCCCCTCAACAGTAGATCCTCTCAGCAACAACTGACCCCAGCAACATAGGACTCCCCAGCAAGAATAGATCCCCAAGCAACAAGCATCATTAGACCCTTCAGCACCTCTTGCCATTACATACATTCAGTACTGGAGGCACTGGAACTGCATTCTGCCGCGTTCCTGCTGAAAAAAAAGCCCTGCCTGTTACCAACTGAGCACTGCAGTACAACTGATTGTGTTGTTTCTCCCTGTCCCATTCTAAGCTCTGTTGTACAGTGATTGCAACTAGCTGATACCAAGTCAAATTCAGGTATTTACACTGCTTGCACTTACAATAAAAGTAATTTAATGATGAAAAATGTAAAAAATCAAATCTCTTAAAAAATTTTGTCCAAAATGTATTCTGCTACTTGTCTTCGGTAAAAAAGCGTATATTGATTGGTTTGCGTGAAAGTTATAGTGTCTAGAAAACTATGGGATATATACTTGTATATTTATTTAAAACTAGTAATAGCAGTGATCAGCAACTTATAAAGGGGTGGCGGGCAATCTGACACTAACTTTGTGGGAACTAACTAACTGCCACTGACTTTACCAGTGACATTATTACAGTGATCAGTGCTAATATTATGCACTGTCATGTACCAATAGCACTGGACAGGAAGGGGTTAAAATCTAGGGTGCCCAAGAGGTTAAATTTGGGACTAACAAGTATTTGTGTGTGTACTGTGTGCTGCTTTTACTGGGGATCTAGTTGTCTCCATTTCCTGCTTAACAAGGAATGAACACAACTAGATCCCCTGTCACTGAACACAGCTCTGTGCTGTTTACACTCACAGAGCTGTGTTCTGTGAGATTAGCTAGGACCCAGTGATTGGCATGTGCTGTGACAAATGACAGCGCAGCCAGGAAGGCGCCCCCCTAGCTGGAAATGCAGAATCATGTATATATACGTGATTCTGCACAGCCAGCCTGCACTATCGCAGTATATTTACAGTGCGCGGTCAACAACTGGATAATTTACGTTTTTAGCCTTAGATGAACAGTACTTATTGGGGTTAATTTCTTTTTGATTGAATCCTCTCCACATTATAATAAAATAAGAGTAAAGGTAGATCACCTGGAAGCAGATGATAGTGCTGTAGCCCACCCTAAAGCAAAGTAGATAGAGAAATCACATTGTACATTCATGCTGATTCTGCCATGCCATAAGAGGTTACAATTCTGCCATCTGTTGACTCTTTCTGATATTTCCAGTAGTCCCACAACTCCTTTAGGAATCACTTTTTTCTCAGTATGGAATCCTGCCTTAGTAAGAGTTTTTTTTTTTCTCATCCTGTAACCTGAGAAGGAATATCACTACAAAAGCCAGGTTCTTAGAGAACTGACCATCAAGGCCTACAAACATTATGAGTAGCCTATAGATGGGTAACATCACCAATGTTCCCTGTCCTGTCTTTTAACATCAAAGGGTAAGTGAACTTCTAGAAGAAACTGGTATCCCTTAACACACACACAATCGTGTGCACACCAGCCTTCTCATTGTATTTACCAAGAGTAAAAACAATGAGAAGTACTTACCAAAGGTGCTGATAAATCCATGTTCTCACTGCCTAGACTGCTCAGGGCCGAAGCAGTATTTTGTTTCGCTGTACTTTGCTTTATGCATGAGACTGACCAGAATATGAAGGATAAAGCCAATCCCACACTCAAGATTCAAAAACGTACTATTCTTTCTATCTGGATTTCATAGGAAGCTGCAGTGCTGGAGGACATAATTACTGCTCCATGCCCTGGTCAGACCAAGCAGTGAGAAATTGGATCTGTCTACATATGAGCTCTGTACTTTTTCTGCCAAATTTGATAAAGACAGTTGGGTCAAATAGGATTCCACATTTTTCCAAAGGTACGCTAACCCTTTAAACACAGTTTTGCTACATTCAAAAGAATCTAATTTCTTTATTTATCCTGAAACCTTGTCCAGTCACACCTCGAAAAACCATGACTAAACTAAGCAGAAACAGAACTATCTTTAGAATCTGGCTAATGTGGGAAGGCCAGACGCTGCGCATGACAATGGACTTTATAGATCAACCTCCATAGACTAAGTTATAATTAGCCTGCCTGTGAAAGCTGCTTACCTACTGCCATGGGGCACTGCAATCAAGAGCTGTGTATTGGCTGCTTATCTTCATCTGTGCATTTTATGGCAATACATTTCTATATGGTAATTGTATTTAAAGTAACTGGCTTTACACCAAAGATTATAGAGAAATGCTATATTGTGAAAATCATATTTACTGTATATACAGAAGAAAATCCTACATTCTTACTTGATATGTAAAACGAAATATCATCAACAATGGAAATTAGGTGCTTCTACTTTGATGGCTGTCCTATGCAAGCAGACCTATTCCTACACTAACCCCAAACGTATGTTTTGGTTGGACAGTTTTGCATAGGTAATTGTTGTCTAATTCAAGAGAATGTGAGTTCACCTACCTTCTTTAGTATATTTAGGCAAAGCAAGCAAGACCTGGAAATATACAGCTCACTAGATAGGAAGTTATGTTAAAAGCATCTACAACATCCTTGGGACGATTACTAGTCTAGCTTATGATTGCTGTGTACACATATGCAAGAGACATGCACACATAAAGGGATGCTGGAAGTATGTTCTTTCAAATAACAGTGGAAAACATTAGGGGTTGGTTTACTTGATTTTAATAAACACTTCCTGTCCTAGGCTAAGATTGTTCACTCAATGTACTATACTCATTGTCACATTAAGACATGACTATAGAATCCCCCTTCCTCTCCACTTTTTAATACCATAGCATGGAGGTGTTTTGTAGTCCACAGAGAGCTGGGAACATTGCTAATTGATGACAGTTAGATGAAGCAGAGGATAGAAGAGAAAGCTGACAAGATTACTGCCAGATTCAAAAGGTAATTCTTTGCACTTATTAAGCAGAGATAACACTTTAAAAGGTATATTGAACAGACCAAAAGGGACTAAATAAGCAAAAATAAATTTTTAATAATTACATATACTTTAAAGTATAATTAAAGGTAACATTTTTTTGTTAGTTGTGGATAGAATGGAGAGGGACTAGAACCACCAGTAGGTTTTATTGCTGTCTGTGGTCTATTAGAAAGAAAAGAAAATCACAAATTTTGAGATGCCACCAGAACATACTGTAAATAAAGGGGAAATCTTCCAATATGGACACTAGTTCTGATGACAACCAGGGATTCCCTCACTTTAGGGGAATTTCCTGTCACTTCCTGATCTGGCTATGAGACAAGAAGTGAAGGAAAATCTCCCAAATGGGACCACAGATGGCAAAAAACAAAAACAGAACATTTTAGTGCCTTGGACATTTAAGTCTGCATATTTAAGCCACCTAAAAATAAATCCACTTAAATTCAGAATTTTTTATTTTACTTGCCTGATGTTTAAACTTGTCACAAATATGGAGGTACGGCATGTGATATTTTTTGTAATCCAGTAAACAAACTACAATTTTTTGCACAATTTTAAGCAAATATGGTCAACGATTTTTTTTAAAATATGACATTTTTCATGAAAACGACAGTTAAACGATATGTTCTCTTTACTGAATAAACTGTGGAATGCTGTCCCTTCCCCTTTTCCTCCACACACAGAAGAATATCAATACAGAAAGAGAAAAACACATATTTCGAAGTAAACATATATATCGGAATGGATTTTTAAATATTCCCTGTTGTGGTAATTGGAAGTGGCCTCAGAGGACGGTTTCCTGAATATGTTACTTTTCTGAACATGTGTAAACATGCCGTAAATTCTAGGAAAATACTTCAGGCAGCTGGAATGTTCTGTTCTACCCTCTCATTATGTCAGCTTGCAGGAATAACACTCAGTAGGCTGAAAGGGCCCCTGTAACAAGCAGCACTCACCAGTTAGCGAATGGCATATGGCCATACGGCTGGGCTTCAGTATAAATTGACACTGCATCTCCCGAGGAAGCTGTTCCATGAGGAAGGGCTCCTCCAGGTTTAAGGGACAGGTGGGCTCCTTCCCTGCCTGGAGTTGTGGCAGTGCATCACGAATATGGCTCATTTTTATTGAGAATGGGTATTCATGCCCTGAAGAAAGACAGACAAAAAATTTAGAGATCACATAAAATCTATTGACCATCCATTTAATACATATTATATTTTGTATATATATAGTGGGTATAGAAGAGAATACCCCCTTTAAAATAATCACATTTTGTTGCTTGAAATGAAGACAGATACAGTTTTTGTTTTATCTAGCTCTATTTACTAATGCAACTTATAACATCCAAGAGAATGATTTAACACCAACATGTCAGGAAAAAAAGAAAAAAAAGTCTAAATCAGAATTACAGGTTATATTTGTTCATTGCTGCACGCAGTGGAAATCAGTAGGGACTGTGAATACTGGGGATGAGTGAAGTTATCAGTGGTAGGTCTAAGCTGACCATTTTTCTGCCACTGGCCTTACTCACCTTCTCTGTCTATCAGGTATTAGCGTGAAGGCATGAGCAGCCCGGAACTTAGATTTTTACCGGTACCAATGTATACAATGTGGTAGGCCACCCCTGTTGAAAGAGGTGACGAAGAACCTTGGGAAGGGGGGGGGGGGGGGGTGTGATGATCAGCTAAGGCTAATTTAGCGGGCTAGAGAGGAGGACTGAAGATGTTTTATATAATTAGTGAATTTGCCCTTTAAAACCGACCAAAACCTCTTTAAATCAGTAGTCAACACTGCTTGGTGACTTATAATAAAGCACACAGATAGGTACAAAGAATATCTGCTAACGTGTACTGTTTAGGAGATATTCACTATTTCTGCAGTGACATCAGCGGCACATGCACACTGTGCTCTGAATGGGCAGCACACTGAGTATATTGTCTATTTAGAGTGCAGTCCTGCCATCATGGCTCCTGTGTGCACGAGTGGGAATGACGTCATTGTGGCTCAGCCATATAAACGGCCAGAGTCCGTGAACCTAGAAGGAAGACCAGGTGAAGCTGGAAGCCCTGTCAGTAGTGACAACATGAAACTGGAGAGCTTTGTTTTAAGGTAAGTTTTTTATAATGAGCTAGTGTGTGGTACATACTAGCACATTATGTCCTTGACGTACAGGGGGAAGTTTTTTTTTTAATTACACCCTTTACTATCACTTGAAAGCAGAATTTAACTTGATCTTTGCCAGTAAAACAAAAAGCACCGTTAATACTATTAATGACCAGTAAAAACTCACCTGTCCATTCATTTCTGCAGCTTTTACTTCATACTTACCCATTCTCTGAAAAGATATCTTTGGTGAATCGCTTTCCAGAGAGCAGCTAAGCAGCTACCTTTCAGGCGTTCAGAAAGCGATCCTGCTGCCTCTTCAATGCCTGTTTTTTTTTTTGTTTCTTTTTTTGCCAAACAGCAGTTTTCAGTGGGACTAATGAGACCCAACTGGGAGCCAAGCATGCAGGTCATGGTTGTGGTGAGGCCCCATTGGCTTGAATAGCCAAATTTGATAGGCAGTGCTGCTTCTTATCAACATAACATGTCGTGTTAAGTCTGCTTCGGCTGCATCTCAAAGTGGCGTCACTGTGGCAAGTGAACAACCTGTATTGTAGACTTTAGGTGGGCGGTCAGAGGGCAGTAAAACCATTGCTCAACCACCTGTTTTAACTGCTGACCCCCCCTTTTCTCCCTTTCCAATCCTTACCCAGCTGCCCTTGTTAAAAGGACCTTAGTTAACATTACAAAACTCTTTTATAATCTTCTCTCCTTGTAGCCATTTTTAGTAAGGGCAGAGGATTCAGATACGTATTTACTTCCTGCAATTCATTCCGCTCTCACTCAGATGAAGCACCAGGCATGCGTTCACACAGGCAGATGCTGCAATGCTGTCGTAATCTCGTGAGAAAAACAAAAAGCCCTGAAGACTGCTGGGATGTGCAACAATGATTTCCCAGGAGTTTGCATGCTGGAGCAGCAACGTTATTTTAGCCTAGACCAGAAAGGCGGAAGCAGATTGAAAACCTGACTAGAAAACGTATTGAACAGCCAATAAAAATATATGTTACTATTTATTTTCAAATCTGAAGATACTGTGGGATACTATGTATGTTGTATGTCAGAGTTTAGGTTTGTCTTTCCCATTGACACCAATGCATTTTGCCAAAATAACAACATTTCATTGAAATCTCCCAGTTTGGCCTATACCTAATGACCATTTGAAACACAACAAATGATCAGTTTTAGTGTGACAATATCTGTATATGTACAGCTGCATTTACGCCCAATGACAGTAAAAAAATAACTGATCTGAGAAACATTTTTTTGGATTTGCGCTTTTCGATCTTAGGTAATTGTAATCGACAAAAGTAGGCCCCGTTCTCTTTTTAGTATGTATACTGTCATTGCTGACAGTTACTGCATACAGTGAAACAATTTCCGCACTCGTTAGCTTTCGTTTGTTATTACTGGCACAATGTTTCTTTTATTTTCATAGGGGTTATTTTCAATATTTATCTGTTATAGTTGGATTAGTGTAATCTGTTTTGGTTCAAGTGCCCTGGAAACTTTATACATCTGCTGAGGAACGCTTCATGTGCCAATGTTTTTTTCAGTTTTAAAATTACCGCTACTTTCTTTTTATATAGTACAACACAGCATGTCTGCGGGAACTTGACTTTCGGGGCATTGAGAGAGCACGCGTCAGAAAGCCTGAGCGCAGGGCGCATGGGCGTGTCCATATGTTTATACAGCATGGAAATATAGCATTTCTGAAGGTCAAAATTTGCACATGAAAGAGATTAGCTACACGGAAAGGTTTGGGAGGGGGCACTTCACCTATAGGTAATATACTGTTTAAAAGTAAATATTTTAGTAAGGCCAGCTTCACACCTGTGTGGTGCGATAATGCATGCACATTAATGCACATTGGCATAACACAGCCCATGCATTTTGAAGGGCTGCCAAAGTACACTGGCAAAGAATTGAAAAAATCTGACTTTGTTTTGGGAACATATTATTATTATTATTATACAGGATTTATATAGCGCCAACAGTTTGCCCAGCGCTTTACAAAATGAAGGTAGACATTACAGTTACCATACAATTTGGTACAAGAGGAAGCAGAGGGCCCTGCTCGTTAGAGCTTACAATCTAGGAATATTGCTTAGTTTGTTGGGGTATCATTCAATATAAATGGCATCGCAATGTGCTAACACGTGCAAGCAGCAGCTCCATGCGGTGCAGTAAGGGGTACAGTAAAGTGCACGCTAACACAATGCAAAGATGAGAAGCTTGCCTCAGTGTATTTATAAATTATATTTAGGGCTTCAGTGATGAAGTACATTTTTTAAAACTATGGTTTATTCTAACTTTGGAGATGAGGAAAAATTCGGAACTTAACAGTCAAAGCTGTTTTCATAAAGAAGCGTATTAGTTTGCCCTGGCCTCACAATGAAAAAGACTCGGTATACATTAAAATGAAACTCCAGTCAAAAATGTATTACGGGGGGAAAGATTAGAACCCTGTCAGGCTTTTATTACTGTGTCTGTGTCTTATATCACAAGCAAGGAGAGATTCTCTCCAAATTGAAATGCACAGTAATAAAAACTGGCTTCTATTATTATGTCCCACTAGAGAGTTTTTGCTCACTTCCTGGAGATGGGCTTTAACTCAGTTATATCAAAAGTTATCCTGATTAACAGTTTGTCGAAGCATAAATAATAAATGATCACAGCAAATGGAAAAACCTTATAGTAGTGAAGGATGAATAAACACTTGCACATAATCACATGCTTTTTAAAGAACTGTTATCACCAGAAGTTGCAAATTCTTCTTGAATCCCCAAAGGGAGCACTTAGCACTTGATCCTGTTTAGATCTGTGTAGCGGTTTGCAAATAAAACAACTTTTTTTTCTGTCTGTGCTGTGCTATAGCTCCACTATAGCTCCACCCAAGGCTGAAGCCCAATTTATGAGCATTCCAATAGAAGAGCTACGGTCACAACTCCCTCTGCATTCTGCAACTCTGCCATCCAATCTTTCAGCCCTGTTGCTGTGCTTCTGTTCTACCTTTCTGCTATCTGCCATGTACTGAAATGAAAGACTGACCCAGTGGCCAGACACAAGCTATTCTGGAGAAGAGAGACTAAAGAACTAGCTGTTGGCTTAAAGTGTTACTAAACCCACAACAGTAAAATCAGTCTGTATATGCAGTAATGCATGCTTGATATACTCACTGTGGAACCTAAGGAGTTAATCCTCTGCATTGTGTAAAAAGGCTGTTTGACCCTGTTTTCTCTGCCCCTCCTCTTGTTCCGATGTCCACCTGATAAGACAGACTGAACCCGTAGTGACATGCACATGCACATGCTAAGTTTACTGTGTATTGCTAGAGAGGCTTTTTTTTTCCTTGGGAGGGTGCATGTGATCAGCACAGGGCCAATCAGCACTGTCCAGACAGAGGTCAGGGGTTTTGCATCCTCCTAGAGCAGAAAGAAAACTCCTCCTACAAGCTTTAACCAGTGCTCTGCTGAACACTGATAGAATCACAAGACTGCTCTAACTGCCAATGAGAAAACGTATTTAGCAGTTTATATTTACTAAAACAATTGCATTTCCATGTTCTGTGTACTGTGAGAAATCAGATATAGTGAATGTAGGGTCCTGGGTTTAGTAACACATTAAGTTCTTTAGAATGATGGCAAGCTGGAGACAAAAACATAAGCCCACAACAGCACAAGCCTGCTACTGCTTCTCTCCCCAGAATAGCTAGTGGATGGGTCTCTGCTCAGTTTTCCCCCCAGTGTACAGCAAAAGGGTAAAGCAGAAGAGACACAGGTTGCGAGCTGTGCTTTGCTTTGCTCTGTTGTATACAAGCCAAGCACAGTTTAGTTGACACCCCCAATACCTGCATTCCTAGTGAGAATGCTTGTCTTTGGCAAGCGTTTAGAACCAGAGACAAGCACAGTCAATCAAAGCTAATCCATTTTTGCACAACTTGCTAGCTGTGTGGTCAGACAGCCATGTGGGTAGGGGGTGCCCCTTCTAACCATGCAGCTAGCCTTAAACCACATGTAGAAAGCAGCTACAAGTACTTTGTTCCGTCTGTAACATGAGACATTAAAAAATTAAGTGAAACGTCATAAAGTAGTGTTTTAGCACATTCAGGTGGAATGAATCATCCACTGCCTTCTTTGAACTCTTAGGGAATTCTGTGGTGAGGCCCTTGGGGTTTGGTATTCCCATCAACCTCAAGGTGCTCTTAATACTACTTCTCCATTATGTAAAGTAAATCAATAATCCAACAGGGACTTTGCCACCCCTTTGTAATGCTCACAACAGATGTATTAACATGGGTTTTCACCACTGTGGTTACTAATGGATACAGGAAACTGATATCTAATGTAGACTATATATCTAGAAGTATGTGGATACTTCTACAAATGAATGAGATCGTGTGTTTCCAGCGAAGGCCACACTTAATGCTACAGACATCATATAAAGGCGGTTGAGACAATTCTGTGGCTCTTTTCTATTCCAATATGACTGTTCCCCTGTGCAGAAGGCCAGGTCCATAAAGACGTGGTTTTATGAGTTTGTTGTGAAGGAACTGGGATAACATGCACTGAGCTTTGACTTCAACTCTATTAAACACCTCTGGGATGAACTAGAATGTCAATTGTGAGCCATGTCTTGTTGTCGAACATCAGTACCTGACCTCATAATTAGTCTTTTGATTGAATGGGCACAAATACCTTCAGACACACTTCCAAATCTTGTGGAAAGCCCAACTCTATAATAATGCTACCCATTTTGAATTAATATGTCCAACCAGCCTATATAACCATGATCTTGTGTCCACAAACTTCTGGCCCTATAGTGTAACTTTTCAGCATACACTAAAACTGAAATGCCAGTTTTGCAGGAGCTGACCCTTAAATAAAACCCTTAAAAAAAACAGAAGATTTTGAACATGAAATAATGTCTCAGACACTTCTAACATTTTAGTATTGTCAGTTTAGTACACTATAGCCTTTTCATAACTAATGCTCTGTTACTAGAGCAACAAGCTATAGATTAAAATAGATAATTAATCTACTAATAGATGCATATATAGAAGGATTATTGATTACTATGAATGTTTGGCATCCTCTAAATATGTCATTGATGGACTGGGCATCCTATAACTCATAATTTACTGAAACCTGAAATGAATTTGAAGGGTAAATCAATAGATTGTAACAATTGCATATATCTGTTGTGCAATGACTGCAGAGGTCAGCTATTCATACATTCTTGTCATATCTGTGTGACTGTGTGACAGGCTCCATTTAAACACTTAAGCTGAAGATGACATTCCTTGTACGTACCAATAAGAGGATAAGGAGCATCATCTTTGCCCGAGGTGACCCACAGCTGGTAATCTGTATCTGAGCCCTGCGGAAAACACAACAGAGGATGATCTGAGGGAAGTTTATTGGCCACACATCTTAACTTTATCCTGTCAACAAAATGTTTATCTTTTTTTAAAAATCCAGGGGTAATTATCTGTCCCTAACTACAGGTAATCACTCTATGTGTGATTACTACCTGAACACCCACAGACAGCTGCAGTTGCTGTCAGATTGTCATTGCTTTGTACAGGCAGAGCTACCACAACTATCCACATCCACCTGTGAATCTAGCCACAGAAATATGCTGCTTCTTTACATCCCATGTGAATGAGGTCCTAAAGGATAACTTCAAAGGTTGAACACATATCCAAAACTTCCTTGACTCTGGAAAATATTTCTTTAGTAATGCAAACTCTCCACCTTGATTGGCCTACTTTTGTATAAAAAAAAAATCAATACATTAAACTCAAGGCTTTGCTGATTCTTGCACTGATTTACCGAACATAGAGCCCATACATTAGTCAGTTTTTTTTCATTCAAGCAGTGAGTTGAATGAAAAAAAATTGACCCAGTTTCCCCATTCACACATTCATGGTGGATGAGGGAATCTTCCTTGCTGAGATATTGTATTCTGATAGTGGGCAGACTTCCCCACCATCAGGATACACTGTTCAGCATTGCAAGCTGTCACCTGTGGAGCTGATTAAGCAGGGAAAATCCATCAGGGTGATTGTACAGAAGTCGATTGATATATCGATTTCTGCAAAACCTCCTTGCCCATACATGGATCAAAATTCGATTGGTCCCTGCTGAATTGGCTGAATTGCGATCCATGTTTGGCCGCCTTTAAAATATATTTGGAATAACTCCTTTCCTGGTATAAGCCAGTCATGCAACGTACAGCTGAGATTAAATATTATACTTTTGGTGATCCCTTCATTCGTTGGTGACTTTACAAGAGAGTAATCCCCACAGAGTTATGAAAACAATCTTCCAGAGGTGAAATTGATTATCTCTAGCACAGTTTTCAGAAATAATCCCTGCAGTAGATTACATCATGTTGGAAGGATAATGTGATATTATGTAAAACAGAATTTTGATTTAAATCAGAACGGAACAGTAATTACGAAATATTTGACAAGCTGCTGAGAGTTGAGAAAGTGAGATGTTTCTATTAGTCCAGAAGATGGACAGCAAAGGAAATTGTCATCCTACACTCTCATAGCCACTTTGGCGAGTGCTCCTACATTTACATTTTAAAAAAAAAAATAAAAAAAAAAATAAAAAAAAAAAAAAAAAAAAAAAAAATAAAAAAAAAAAAAAAAAAAATTAAAAAAAAAAAAAAAAAAAAAAAAAAAAAAAAAAAAAAAAAAAAAAAAAAAATAAAAAAAAAAAAAAAAAAAAAAAAAATTAAAAAAAAAAAAAAAAAAAAAAAAAAAAAAAAAAAAAAAAAAAAAAAAAAAAAAAAAAAAAAAATTAAAAAAAAAAAAACATTAAAAAAACTAAAAAAAAATATTAAAAAAAAAAAAAAAAAAAAAAAAAAAAAAAAAAAAAAAAAAAAAAAAAAAAAAAAAAAAAAAAAAAAAAAAAAAAAAAAAAAAAAAAAAAAAAAAAAATAAAAAAAATTTAAAAAAAAAAAAAAAAAAAAAAAAATAAAAAAAAAAAAAAAAAAAAAAAAAAAAAAAAAAAAAAAAAACATTTTTAAAAAAAAAAAATTAATAAAAAAAAAAAAAAAAAAAAAAAAAAAAAAAAATTAAAAAAAAAAAAAAAAAAAAAAAAAAAAAAAAAAAAAAAAAAAAAGGAATGTGAGCTATTGCATTGCAGAGCTCATGCTACCTGCCCTTAAGCTTCATTCACACTGGCACTCCTACATTTACATTTTAAAGGCAGAAGTCATATTGGAAGTATAAACAACGTTTCCTGCTTTATATGTTCCTGCTTTAACCTTAGGTTCACACCTAAGTGTTTTCCGCAGCGTTTTGCAGAAACGCACTATAAGCCATTTAACATGATTTCCTATGGGACATGTTCTCTGCGTTTTCACCCGGTGTGTTTTTTGGAAAGTGTCAGGGACTTTTTTGAATGCAAAAAGTTCCAATTTTTGTTCTATAGACTTCAATGGAAACGCTGAAGAAAAGTATGTAGTGCGTTTTTGCCGCATTTTTGCTGCATTTTGAATCTGCCTAGCAACAAGAAAAATTTAAATCAAAATTTAAAAAAAACCCCAGCAAAACACGTCAAAATGCAGGTGCAAAAATGCAAAATGCAACAGAAACGGGTCAAACGCAAACTGCATAGGTGTGAACCTAGCCTAAAGCAGGTTAGCCAGGATTAGGAGTGCTTAGAGCTTTTAATTAGATCCTGGACGCATAATTACTGCTAAACTGACTGCACATGAATGCAGGTAAACACTCAGTGAAAGGCATCATCACATGCATTTATATGCTTTTAGATATGTTCTCCAAAAGCATATAAATGCAGGTTTGACAGTGCCAGCATGAAGACCTTAGGCCCACTTGCAAAAGTGGCTGTCCAGCTGCAGTGTGCCCCTCTAAGCACATTAGTGTGCCTGGGAGGAACATGTGCTGTGTGTCCAGTCCTGATGCAGGCAGCCTGTCAATAAGTATGGCAAGCTATCAGTTGACTGGGCAGAATTCTGTACGCAGTGGTACCAGCATTTAGGGCCCCATCATACAGACCTGACAGTGGTTTTTTTTTCACACAATCCGGGATTGTGTCTACAACTGACAGGTCGACTCCTGCCTGTCAGGTGGAAGCAGTCGGGTGGCTGCGTTGCCGCCCAATTGCTCCACACACCCCCTGGTAACAGGGGACGCTGCATGTCTCATTAAAGAGAACCTGTCACTAAAAATCATCACACAGGGGATTTTTTGTCCCTTATGTAATGAAAAAAATGTTAAGCAAAAAAAGTTACACACAAACACATAAAATCCTCCAAAATATTTTTGAGGCCCCCCACATATATGCACGTATGAATGTAAACATATGCGTTGGGGGGAGCTTACGAATTAAACTGTCGATTGTGACACACGTTACATATCATCACACATGCCAGAATGAGAGCAATATGTCTAGCACAAGGCCTCCTCCATAACACTATACTGATGACTTATAAGGGGCTTTTAGAGCATCACCTATAGAAAATATAGGGTACTGAGGTTTGTCACCATTTCAAGGGCACACACATTTAAAGTTTGACATGTTGGGTATCTAGTTACTCATTTTAACCTTTTCTTTTATATTTTACTAAAAATGTGGGTAATTTATTGCGTTTGATTGCCCTAAAATTCACTTTAGTATGTTCTTTACTGAAATGTTGCGTTTCCTAGACCTTTGCGGTAATATCGTATCACATGAACATTTGGAACTAACACTATTTTATTCTCTAGGGTGTCTGCTTTCAGAAAATATATAATGTTTGGGGGTTTTGTTTAATCTTCTGGCCAGAAATAATTTTTGTAAACGTGTGCAAAAAAATGCAAACGAGGCCCTGGCAGTGAATGGGTTAAAGGACCTAAAATATAGGTTTATTTATAAAACAGCTACAAAGAAATTTATATACAACGCAGCTCTGGACCAGCCATTTGGCAACTTTGGCAAATACCAGGGGAGCTGGGAAATTTAAAAAGATCTGATTGTGAGCCCAGTGGAATATTTTGCTTCGTCAGCCTTGGTCTAAAAATACAGGCCCCTTTCACATGGAGAATCCAGTCAGGTCCATCTGTCAGTTTTTCAGGTGGACCTAATCCGACAGTCCATGTATCCCTATGGACTGGTGGGGTGTAAACAGACATGTGTCTGTTTACATCTGCATACCTCCAATTGAATCCAGGAGGTATGCACAGACCTGATAGGCGGCCCAACAGTTAACTTAAACAGCATACATGGCAGCCTACCACATGTACGCTACCATGGATTGGCGCCAGGAAAGGAACATTATGGTAAGTATTTGATACAATCTTCTGTTATTGTGCTGTCACCTTGTCACAAGGGCTTCTGATGGAGACTACAAGTAGCTGCTTCAACACAGTTATGCAGGCTTGGTCTACTGTTGTCACCATCAGGAAAATCACCCTGAGAAATAGAATGCAGCCATGGCTGGGGTGCATGTAGACAGGGAGTGGCTGCAGAAGATTAGTAGCACTGAGTTATAACAAAGGGTAAAAAATGTATAGAATTTGTATTTAATAACACAAAAATGGCAGTTGTCTAAGGTAGACAGTTCAGTTAGGGTTTACATCTGCTTAAAACACATGCATTTCTTCCTTGTGTAATGGTATCTGACAATCACTTACCTCTACACCAAACTGCTGTAAAGCCATCTTAATGACATCACTCACTGTGTCTTCATTGCTGGCAGTCAGTGTTTTTGACTATATAAAAAAAAGTAAAGTTAGCATTTCCAATATAGGTAATTATATATAATCATGTTGCAAGAATTCTATAAAATAAGACCATGTCTAAGGATAATAGTCTGTTCTTTTCAGAAATGCTAGCACTTTGGAAAACTTTCCCTGTCATTTAAGAGCAACACAGAACCCAAACCTCTCACAAACTACGGATACCCCTTTTAATAATCGTCTCTGGGGTTCTTTTTTTGTAACTGATGATGTGCTTTGTATCCTTTATGTATTGTTGGTTGAAGTCTCCATTTAAACATTTATCTGCCCTGAACTGAGTTTGAAAAATTTACTTTTTCACTGAAAACTCATTCAAGCTGAGATAGAAATGGAACAAATTCAAGGTCTTTTATTTATTGTTTTGCAGAATGCGCCCACGTTCAGGGGACCCTGAACCATGTCATAAAATGGTCTGCTTACACTTAAAATATTAGTATGAACTAGAGATACATGGAGTGGTTGATGCAAAATGAATTATACTGCTAAACAGCCAATTTCTGAATGAGCAAATATTGTTTGTTCAGATGATTGTTCAGGTGATCAATAAAAAAATATTTTTTCTCTTTCATTTAAAGGGATTGATATTTCAAGTGTATTGAGGGTAGATTAGTTTAGTTTTGATCTAGTGCTGTCCCTGAAAACAGCATCACTGCTCTCTCTCTTCTCACTGGATTCAGTGAGAGCAGTAGGAGTCAATAGCGCCTACTGCTGTCAATCAAATCCTGTGATGATGGAACTGTGGGAAGGGGCCAAGCCACAAGTCAATGTCTATAAATATACACAGAGTGTAGCTCAGGATTGAGCCTGCAAGAGTGCCCCCATAGCAATTGGCTTGCTATTGGGGCACTTGGAAGGCAGGAGGAGAGTCTGGAGCACTGGCAGGGGACCCCAGTAGATAATGATCAGGACTGCTCTGTGCAAAACCACTGCACACAGCAAGACAGTATAACCTTTTTTTTTCTTATTGAAAAAAAAAAAATCCTGTTGTTACCAGAACACTGCAGAAAATCAAAAGATGCCACACATACTGATAACGTCACTACTATACAAGTTTATTTAAAAAAGCAGTTACAGTAGAAGTCCCTGCCTGAAAACCACCCCCTCTAACACATTTAACTCAATAGGGCCTAGTCATAGAGATCTCTCTGCTTAAGAAAAATAATAGTAAAAATAGTGCCATTTTTTCTGACACTTACTGCTGGTCAATGATTTAGGAAGCATGGAGCCCAATCAACACTTTCCGAAGTAATGGTCAGTAATTGCTTCCTCGTTCATTCTCCTATTATAGGTTTCTACCAAAAAACAACTTAATTTTGTCTTGCCAATTAACTCCAGTATATTTGGCCAAAATATTCTTGCTTTTCTGCAGACATTTCAGAGAAAATAAGAACCAATTCTGTTCATCTCTAGTAGGCCCCTTTGGGTCAGCTTTGGGAAAACAGCATCAGTACGTTACATTTAGTTACAGGTTCACTTCAAGAATATAATATGAAACTCTACAAAATAAAACAGGAGGAAGTTTATTAAAGTTCATCTGCAAAAATGCAGCAGAGCCTAAAGCCTGGGGCGCACAGCACTTGAAATAAATGACAACAGAACTGTGGAGCATTGGGGTAGATTACAAAGTAAACATGCTGTGGAGATACATTAGTTTTCCCTAAGGTCTCTGAGTTTGATTGACTCGGCAAGGTCAGGTGATCCAAATCTAGCACCAGGAAAAGATTCGGTTATATGCCACATTTTGTCAGTCTAGATATATTTGTGGTCGCTTCTGTACATTCTACACATCTTAGACACAAAGCGCAACATGCTGAGGATGAACCCATGCTAATGGATAGCTATCATCTGATGCTTCACCCATCACCCGTTAAATGACAAGGTGCAAATGCAGCAGTCTAACTGATTCCCGATCAGGGTTATTCTTATGTGTGTAAAGTAGAATCATTAAAACTGAACTCCAAGCACTGCATTTGTTCATTTTTTTAAAAAATGTATTCTTTTAACTTCAAGCAGTGCAAGTGCCTGAACTTGAGCTGGTATCCGCCTCTTGCAATCCACTGTATTGCAGATCTGAGACTGAGAGAAAAAGGAGCAGGACTGCAAGCCAATCAGATGTGCTGAGTTTTATGGACTAACAAGAAGTATACTGATAGGTGAAGACAGCAGAGTTTGCTGCTTCTTCTTTCACTGTCCAGTCAAAGGCTCGATGGGAGGGATATGACCTATAAGTGTTACCTAACTGCAGCACAGAAAAATCAGATCTACACCCCTGCCAGACAGAGCTGGTCTGTGCAGCAGAGCTTTGTAAATCTTAGAAATGGATGACAGAAATACATATACTTTGGCATGTTAACAGCTCTCTTATATGTATTTCATTTGTGTATTTACTGCTTGATTGGAGTTACGCTTTAAACCAGAAACAAGGGCTGCTCCATAAGAAAAAAATGGACAATGTAATTTACTGTGGAGAAATGCATTAATCCACAGTAAATGCAAACCTGGGCAGTGGCATAAGGTACACCTATGGGCATACTTAAAAAATTGCAGGTATACAGTAGATATTTTATACATACTGTAGTTACAAATTGTACCATCTTTAGATTGTAAGCTCTACAGCAGGGCCCTCATATTCCTTCTGTACTGAAATGTATTGTAATTGTACTGTCTCCCTTATATTGTAAAGCACAGTGCAAACTGTTGGCGCTATATAAATCCTGTATAATAATAATAATCTTGGATGAACGTAACTATGTACAGTGGGGAAAATAATTACTTGATCCCCTGTAGATTTTGTAAGTTTACCTATTTACCAAAAAAAGGGTCTATCATTTTTATCATAGGTGTATTTTAAATGATAGAGACAGAATATCAACCAAAAAAAAAAAAAACACATGATACAAATTTTATAAATTGAGTTGCAGTTCAGTGGGTTAAATAAGTATTTGATCCCCAAGCAAAACATGACTTATTACTTGTTGGAAAAACCCTTGTTGGCAAGCTCAGAGGTAAGACGTTTCTTGTAGTTGGTTACCAGGTTTGCACACATCTCATGTGAAGTCCACAATATTTCTTGGCTGTTGCTTGCCAAGTTTCAGCTCCCTCCATACATTTTCTATAGGATTGAGGTTTGGAGACTGGTTAGGCCACTCCATGACCTTAATGTTACATAGCTACATAGTTAGCCTGGCTGAAAAAAGACAAAAGTCAATCCAGTTCAACCATTAAAAAAAAGAAAAAAAAAGTTATAACCCTATACCCACAGTTGACCCAGAGGAGGGAAATAAAAACCAGCAAAGCATGATCCAATTTGCTCCTGCAGGGGAAAAAAATTCCTTCCTGATCCCCCTGAGAAGCAAATGGATATTCCCTGATCAACTTTACTTATAAATGTTAGTATCCAGTTATATTCTGTGTATCCAAGAAACAATCCAGGCCTTTTTTAAAGCAATCCACAGAGCTGGCCAGAACCAACTCTTAAGGGAGTCTATTCCAAATTTTCACAGCTCTTACTGTGAAGAAACCTTTCCGTGTTTGGAGATTACATTTCTTTTCCTCCAGATGTAAAGAGTGCCCCCTTGTCCTCGGTGATGACCTCAGGGTGAATAGCTCTACACCAAGTTCACTATATGAACCACTGATGTATTTATACATGTTGATCATATCCCCCCTTAATCTCCTCTTCTCAAGAGAGAATAAATTCAGTTCCTCTAATCTTTCCTCATAGCTGAGCTCCTCCATGCCTCTTATCAGTTTGGTTGCCCTTCTCCGTACTTTCTCCAGTTCCCCAATGTTCTTTTTGTGAATTGGTGCCCAAAGCTGTACTGCATATTCCAGATGAGGTCTTACTAATGATTTGTACAGGAGTAATATGATATCTCTCTCTCTGGAGTAATACTTCTTTTAATACAAGAGAGGATTTTGCTCGCTTTAGAAACCGCAGCTTGTCATTGCATGCCAGTATTAAGCCTGTGATCTACAGTCCTTGTAGATCCTTCTCCACCATTGATTCCCCCAGTTGTACCCCCCCTAGTATGTATGATGCATGCATATTCTTAGCCCCCAAGTGCATAACCTTACATTTATCAACATTAAACCTCATTTGCCACATAGTTGCCCAATTAAACAGTGCATTGAGGTCAGCTTGTAAGTTGGAGACATCCTGTAAGGACGTTCTTCCACTGCACAGCTTGGTGTCATCTGCAAAGACTGAAATTATATTTTTAATCCCAGACCCTATATTGTTTATAGATATATTAAAAAGTAAGGGTCCCAACACTGAACCATGGGGTACACTGCTGACAGCCCTAGACCATTCAGAGTATGAATCACTAAGCACTACTCTTTGAATACGATCATTTAGCCAGTTTTCTAACTATTTGCATACAGATTTTTTTAAGCCGTAGACTTTAACTTACACATTAGCCGTGTGTGGTAATGTCCTTCTTCTTGAGCCACTCCTTTGTTGCATTGGCGTTATGTTTTGGGTCATTGTCATGCTGGAAGACCCATTCACAACCCATCTTCAGTATTCTGGCGGAAGGAAGAAGGTTCTCATCCAAGATTTTATAATACATGGCCCTGTCCATTGGCCCCTCAATGTGGCAAAGCTGTCCTGTACCTTTAGCAGTGAAACAGCCCCAAAGCATAATGTTTCCACCTCCGTGCTTGACTGTAGGGAATGTATTCTTATGGTTATAGTCATCATTTTTCTTCCTCCAAACATGGCGAGTTGCGTTAATGTGAAAAAGCTCATCTGAACACGGCACTTTCTCCCAATCCTTTTCTGAATCATTTAGATGTTCATTGCCAAACTTCAGACGGGCCTGTACATGTGCCTTCCTGAAAGCAGGGTCCTTGGGGTGATTTCAGTCACGGTGGTGTATTGTGTTACCAATGGTTTATTTGGCAACAAACCTTCCCTGTAGTTCTGGCTGATCCTTCGCTTTTCTGAAAGATTGCAAACCACTCTATGA